TTCGGTTCACGACCAATTCGGTTCGCGACCAGAGTCATGGAACGAATTAAGTTTGTGAACCGAGGTACCACTGTAGTTTGACATTGCCACCTTCTGGGTTTGTTTTTTTCTCCCATGGCTGGCTGGGGAATTCTGGGAATTGAAGTCCACCCATCTTAAAGTTGCTGAGGTTGTGAAACATTGTACTAGACCATCGAACAATAAGCTCCTTGGCTGATTTCCAGGAGAGGAGGCTACAAGGTGCTCCTTCTCAGGGCCAGTGAAAACAATCTCCCTGCAGAGACCAAGCTATCCCCCTCTTTGACAAATTTCAGAATGTTATTAAAAACTGAGGCTTTCCAGAGAGCATTCCAAGGACTGCCGTTCACTCACCGCGCTACCTTTTCCCTTTTAACTTTTACTGTTATGGTGCATGTGGCTGTCCATTTATTTTGATTCTTTTTTTCAATGTGGTTTGTGTTTAAATCCTCCCAGGGATGTACTATTTTTTTTTTCTTTTCATATCTTGCACACCCCCAAGAGTCAGGAGATGACAGTGGGATATAAATTCAAGAAACAGAGACATTTGTCTATAACACATTTAGCTTTTATGAATAAAGGTGTGCTTTTAAAGCAATGGGGATATTAATTCTGAGTTGCAACAGCAGCAATCTTTTTCCGATGACCCCCAGAAATTTCAACCTCTGTAATTTCATGATAGCTTGGCCTTCACCAATATACAAAACATTTGGCCTACACCAGGTTGAGGAAGACCGTACTATACTGGTGTTATTCTTTTCTTTTATACATTGCTCCGTCACTTTGAAAGCCTCTGCCCATAGTTTCCAATTTAGGGGAGAAATGGAAAAAGTTCTTTCTTCAGGTCACATTCAGTTGAAAAACTGGAAGGCAAGGAGACAAGAGATTTTTACGGTGAAAAAACCAGACATTCACTGGTAGCTAACTGATTAAGTACAAAGAATCCCATACTCCAGCCATGAGAATCTTTCCAAAAGTTCCAGTCTTTTGAGGGCGTAAAAGCAGATTCTTTTTTTTTTTTAATCAAATGGAATGAGAACGATAAGGGAAAAAATGCAGGGGATATCTTCAGTACCATACCTCCGCCAAGCAAAAAATATTGTGGGTGTTTTCTGTCTTTCCTTCAACTTTTTGTGCATAAAAAGAAAAGAAGAAAGTGCTGGGAAAATGCAGATAGTTTCAACGGGAAGAGTAGCTCATCTGGAATTCACTTCTCTCTAGCAAGGAAAATCCTGTGGATGAGGCAGCAGTTATCTCTGACAACATAGTTCTTGCTTTCAAACTGTTTCTCCTTTTAAGTGAACAGCTGTAATGAATTTGCAGCAAGCCTGGCTTTACTCTAAATTTATTCGGGACTCTTTTCCACCTTTCAAAATAAGAATATTTTCTACTCATGAATTATTTAAACTTTGTGCCTAACAGTTTGCTCTGCACATTCATGAGTATACAAGAGGTGAAATTACATAGTAAGTAAATGGAGAGCATTGATCAGAAAGGTTACGACTGTCTAAAGCAGAAAGGAAGCTTTTGGTCCTCCAGATGTTGCTAAGGAAGGCTCACCACTGGCCATGCTGGATGTTGTAATTCAGTGTTTACTACGATCTACAGCAGCGTTTCTTAAAGCGTGGTTCAAAGACCCCTGCGGGTTCCCCAAGACCCTCTCAGGAGTCTGCGAAATCAAAATTATTTACCAGATATTGCAGATATTTGTAAAACATTTTTAAAAATGTCACTCTTCTCATTGTTATTTTTATTTCTTAAAAAATAGAGGGTTTTTCATGAAAAATATTTTATTTATGTTAATATCTAATGGGTTGTTGCTGCTGCTGCTGCTGCTGCTGCTGCTGCTGCTGCTGCTGCTGCTGCTTCTTCCTCTTCCTCTCTTTGGACGGTTTTATATTGTAACTTTTACATGATTCAATAAATAAATATTCTACGAATGCATCAATTTTAATTTTTAACATGGTAAAAATTGTTAATGAGAGCCAGTTTAGTGTAGTGGTTAAGGCACCAGGCTAGAAACCGGAAGACTGTGAGTTCTACTCCCACCTTAGCTGTGTGACCTTGAGCCAGTCCCCCTCTCTCAGCCCTAGGAAGCAGGCAAGGGCAAGCCACTTCCGAAAAACCTTGCCAAGAAAACTGCAGGGACTTGTCCAGGCAGTCACCAGCAGTTAACACTGTCTCAAAGGCACACACACACAAATATTGATCAATACAATCTATACAAACAAAAGCTCTTTTGGGGTCCTCCATAATTTTCAAAAGTGGGAAGGGGTCCTAAGAGCAAAAAGTTTAAGAAACACAGATCTAGAGGATCTCAATCAAGCTCTAAAGATATTTTTTGAAGTCTGGACACCAAATAAATACTTCTCAAAATGTTGCAGAAATGGGTGCAATGACTGACCTATGTTTGGATTGTCTCAAGAAGTGCATTTACGCAGAAATAAATTCTTTTGTGTTCAACGGGACGTAATTCCAGATAGAGGGTACTTAATGGGGAGGTCTCCAGTCTGAGCCAGTGCTAGCATTTAGGTGGCATCAGGGGTTATTATTTCACCATATATGTAATAATAGGGAAATCTGACACATTAAATCAAATGTAACTGAAAATACACCTATTAATGCCCCAATCTATTTCTTTAAGTTAACCCAGAAGGCCTACAATTCAATCCATCAAAACTATGGTCAGTGAACTGGTGCCCCCTGAATGTACTCTCTCTGGGATTTCTGAAAATTGTGGTCTTGCACACTTGGAGGAGCTTAGCTAGAAGAAAGCTGCATCAAAATGCAGAAGGCCATTCAAACAATCATTCTCCCATGGTTGTATAAGGAATGGTGTAATCTTTGCTATACTCTACTCAGTACAGTTGCAATATGGTAATACAGATAAGTAAGTGCTGTTAAAGAGTAAACATCATACCCTGACACTAAGCCATAATATGAATTATTTGGTTTTGACTGAGCATGTTGGGTGAATTCAGCCACTGAGATCTGTAAACCATAGTCTAAGCATGATCGTTTAGACAATAAACCATGATTAAATCATGCCTTAGTACAATAAGTGACTCCAGTTTACCATCCTACATTCTCCTAGTATACACACGCACTCCTCTATGATGTGAAAGAACATGTCAATAAAGTTTGGTACTGGCCTCCATTAAGCATAAAATCCGACTGGATGACTTTGGGCCAGTCTCACTCTCTCAGCCCAACCCACCTAACAGGGTTGTTGTGGGGAAAATAGGAGGCAGGAGTATTAGGCATGTTTGTAAAGGTGGGTTAAAAATATAATTATAACATCAACAATAGTAATAATAATTCCCATTATGCTTATTTGAGTCCTTAAAATCTTTAATACAAGCAGCCTGTGTCCTTAATCTGTCTTGTATAGATCACTTCCTGTAAATCTATATTTACAGAGAAATCTGAATGCATTCAGGGCTTACTCTCACAGAAGTGTGCATAGGATGGTAGACTTAATTACAATAAATGTAATTAGTGGGAATTAACATTTGTACATTTGATTACATTTTCACCAGGAAATTCTGCTGTGATATACCACTGCCACCCTACTCCAAAACTCTAGGTGTTCCTCAAAAGAGATGATGTGACAAGGTGCAAAGGAATACAGATGGTCCCTGGGTTAAGAACTTCCAGTTTAAGGATGACCCATAGTTAAGAATGGAGCTTATTGGACTTCCGGGGAAGCAATGGAAGATTGAAGACGGCTTCATGCAAGCAGAGCTGCCAGCCATGGAGGAAAGAGAACCCGGTGAAGGGATTGGCTCCTTGGAACCCCTCTATGGATCAAGGAGAGGACTAGGATCACCCACAACTTTGCTCCATACAGAGGCTCGCCCATGAAGAGATTGCAAAATAGCGATCTCTGCTGGGTTTGAGAGCTCTGGAAGTGGGGGGGGGGGGTGGAATCATCTTGCCTAAGCTGCAGTTCATACCTTCAAACAGACACTAGGTTCACCCACTTCCTCTCTTAACTACTTTAGGAAATTACTTATTATTGACCTTTTGGATGTTAAGAACCTTCTAAAGGGCAAGTTTAATCACCCCAGGAGAGCTTCCTTCTATCCTGGATGAAAGAAGTTTCATGTAAGTTTAAGGATTAAATAGAAACATTTTAATTTTGGGGAAACAGCAAAAGTTGATTTTAGAAAGTTAAAGGGCCAGATGGACTTGAAAGAATATTTCCTGTGGGTTGATTAAAATTTATTAAAGGATATATGAAGATTTTGAAATTAACGCTAAGAAATCCTCCCATGGGAAAGTTTTGCTGACTGGAGAATAAATATATGATAAGAGGGAACTTTGAAGGTTGACCAGAGGGAACCAGAGAGAACTAAAGATTACAGTTAAAGGAGAAGAGACTTATTAATACAACAGAACAATATTATTTGACTATAGAAGAAATTAAAGCTGTCTGGGAACAATGTACTCAATTACTTTCAGGATTGTCTGCCACTATAGAAATGGATATAACAGAGGTTACAGAAGAGGAACAGACTTTACA